CAGTCAACTTCGTGTGGCGACGAATTTTATTCGACCGGAGCGTCCTCTGGAGTCCAAAGTAGGCACGATTCCCTGCCATAATGCTTGATGCGTTGATGGCAAGTCCAATCCGTCTAGCTTCAACCTTCAGTCTGATGTACGTTTCCGCCATCATCTCAAAGTTCCTTGCCATAATGTCAATGTCATCGGCGAAGCCAAGGAGCTGGATGGACTTCCTGAATATCGTGCCACTCGTGTCTATCCCAGCTCTTCTGATCACACCTTCTAACGCGATGTTGAACAGCAGACACGAAAGTTCATCACCCTGCCGTAACCCCCTTCGAGATTCAAAGGGACTCGAGAGTGTCCCCGATACTCGAACAACGCACATCACTCGATACATCGTCGCCTTGACCAATCGCGTCAGTTTATCCGGAACTCCGTACTCGTGCATAATCTGCCACAATTGATCTCGATCGATTGTGTCGTATGCGGATTTGAAATCGATGAACAAATGATGTGTGGGCACGTTGTATTCGCGGCATTTCTGCAGAACCTGCCGAATCACAAAAATTTGGTCCGTGGTAGCGCGGGCACCCATGAATCTCGCCTGGTATTGCCCCACAAACTCTCTTGCATATGGTGGCAGCCCAAGTAACAATCCAGTAACCATTTAGCATCCACTCTGATTTATGATGGTAATTCAGCTTTTTGTTGTTGTAAAAACCTTTTATAGTCTTGCAAGAAAGTCAAAAACTGTCTTGTTTTAAAAATAAATTTAAAACAGTTATCAATCCCTCCTTAAAATTGTTCTGTAATTCAAGCATAAACGTCATTAGCAATTGATTATTAATGTCTTGATAAAATACTTTATAAACGTGTTCTATCATTATAAAAGCAACCATAAAATCATTTGGTTTTGCATTAGAGCAAAAAGCATTTATTGTTGCTTTTTAGGCTTTTTAAAGTGCATCCTTAACTCCCCAATTACTCTGTTTACAAATTGAGCTTAAAAGATGGTTCCTTATAATTAATAAATGCCAATTTTATGACAAGGAAATCTCATAGGATAGACGAAGTAGGATGAAAAATTCAAGTCGATTTCAGAAAAATTTACTTCCTTAGAAGAATCAGCACACCATCAACGACTGACCATCTGGCGGAGAAGAGTAAACTGAGCGGTGCCATAAAACATTGCCGAAAGTTAAAACACATACCAGCCTTCTCCAGATCTTGCGAAGTATCAACCGACAGCAAACCACTGAAACTGTTCGTAAGCGGAGATTAGCTGGTTTCCGATCCATAGCAGCGATTTTAGAATCAAATCTTCGAAAATTTCATTCAAGCGTACATCCCTGCATCGTTGGATGGTGCACTTCTGTAACCATCCGGAAGAAGGGGATCTTTTTCGGAAACGATTGCACTTCCAGCTGTTCGACATGCGAAATGTTGTAAAACAGTATCGCAAACTATCTGAGTAACTGCTTCCAATCCATCAGGAGAAAACCGCCTGGAAGAATCCTGGATCTCACAGCGCAACTATCGAAAGATAAACAAACTTTGACGTTTAACTTTTTGCAGGCAACTTTGCCTCCATAAATGCTGCCATAAATCGGAACGGGTTAGGATCAAGCAAAATGGCTTTAGATAAATACAATTCAGCCTGCAAGTTTTCTTCATAAAAGCCATTTTAAACCCTTATTAATTTGTTAAGGAATTCTTGAAAGCAAAACAACTTTTTAACAAATGACCCATGGAAATCAACTTTTATGCCACCGCCATGTTACAATTAGTTTGCTTGTTTTTTACAATCTTCGATTTTCAATCAATATTTTCTTAGATATAACTATATTTTGGTAAATTTAGCAATGAGCAAACATTTAAATGCGAAAATAATAAAAAGAAAGTCTCGGTCAAGCTCGATCTGAAGAATATATTTTTTTTTTCTATGTTAAATAATTAGTCAAATCGACGTTTTACGAGGGTGGACTTAATTTTTTCGATGTTTTCACCACGTACATTTCACATAAAATTTAATATGGCACTTAAAACTAGGCCACTTAATGAGAACTATTGTAATAAATTTGGATATTCAACAAGATTTTTATACCATCAGTTTCTATTTTCATTATTTTGATAAGATCGGATTCATAAATCCTTTTCTATCTTGATTGATGCTTTCCTAGTGGATTCAGCATGCGGCTAGGGGAAATGGCTCGGAAAGGGTTTTTATTGTTGCTAAATAGCTTTTATTGTAGCTTTCAAATGGTTATCAATGCGTTCGTCATACAACCTTTTGCAGTAGATCAATCTTGAAGAGCTTCGAGAATACACCCTTCAGAACCTTCTCCAGGGTGGGCCAACTAGACATATTCTAGTCTTAATGAGGTTTTGGTGGATGCATTAATGACAAAATAGCCTTGACCAGGGTTTTATGAATGTTGTTTTATAGTTGCTTTGTAGTATTTCATAAAACTTAAAATGTTACTTGGGAGACGGCGGCATAGAATCTGGGAGAGTACCTTGTAGGCGGTGCTCAGCAGTGTGATCGCGCGGTAGTTGCAGCAATCCAACTTGTCGCCCTTTTTGTAGATTGGGCATACGACACCTTCCGTCCACTCCTCCGGTAATATCTCCTCCTCCCAAATCTTGGCAATTACCCAGTGCAGCGCTCTAGCAAGTGCTTCACCACCGTATTTTAATAGCTCACTTGGTAGTTGATCTACACCAGTTGCTTTGTTGTTCTTCAGCCGACCGATCTCCTCCTCAACTTCTTGAAGATCGGCGACCGGTAGCCTGTCGTCTTCTGCGCGTGCTGCAAGGTCTGTTGCCGTGCCACCTTCGTTTTCTGCTGCTTCACCGTTGAGGTGCTCGTCATTTTTTTTCCTATGTTGGGGACATAATACCACCGCGACCATTACTTTGATCTATTGAGGTGCTCGTCATAGTACTGCTTCCACCTCTCAATCACCTCACACTCGGATGTCCCTCCAGGCATCTGCTGTGCCAAGCTGCTCTTCCGTGGGTAGTGCAACTTCCAGCTGCTGCGCGTAGTCCTGGGCAACTCCGGCGTCTCGTAGTTGCTCAATGTTGGGTCGCGGCGTTCGACTTCGACGTGTGTTATGCACCGTCGAGAGTTTTAAGCGCATGTATACTGCAACTAGGAAGTGGTCCGAATCTATGTTCGTACTGCGGTACGTGCGGACGTTGATAATGTCGGAGAAGAATTTCCCGTCGATTAGAACGTGATCGATTTGGTTTTCTGTGTGTTGGTCAGGTGATCTCCAGGTGGCTTTGTGGATATCCTTGCGGGGGAAAAGGTACTTCGAACTACCATACCCCGGGAGGCTGCAAAGTTCTCGCATCGTTGGCCGTTGTCGTTCGATATGGCATGCAGACGGTTCGGCCCGATTGCCGGTCTATACATTGCCTCCCGTCCTACCTGAGCGTTCATGTCGCCGATGACGATTTTGACGTCCCGTTTCGAACAGCCGTCGTACACCTGCTCCAGCTGCGCATAGAACGCTTCTTTCTCGTCGTCGGGTCTCCCTTCGTGTGGGCAGTGCACGTTGATGATACTGTAGTTGAAGAAACGGCCCTTAATCCTCAACTTGCACATCCTCGCGTTGATCGGCTGCCAACCAATCACGCGTTGGTTCATCTTACCCAGCACTACAAAGCCGGTTCCCAGCTCGTTGGTGATGCCACAGCTCTGGTAGAAAGTAGCCGCTCGATGCCCGCTTTTCCATACCTTTTGTCCCGTCCAGCAAAGTTCCTGCAGTGCTACGGCTTCAAAGTTGCGTGGTTGAAGTTCGTCATAGATTAACCTATCGCAACCCGGGAAGCCGAGCGATTTGCAGTTCCATGTTCCGAGTTTCCAATCGTAGTCCTTATTTCGTCACGTAGGTCTGTGCCGATTGTTCCGATCCGTATTTCTTTCTTCGGTATTTGCAACTTTGTTTTTTTTTCCAGGGCGGCTTGTTGGGCCTGCCCCAACCCCCTGTCTCGCCGGGGGACCATCGTGCACAGCTCTGTTTAGAGTCCCACGCTGGCACTAGGACGGTGATCAGCCGCTCCTAACATGGAGAACAGACGCCGTTTTGAGCCGCACCTCCATGGTGAACAGACGCTCGGGTTTGGTGAAGCATTTCCTCTATCACCGTACTATGGTTACCGCGCCAGTGTTCGCGTCGCACCTCTTCACTTTGCTATTGCCGGACTTACAACATTGCCCAGGCTACGCCACCCAGATGTGTCCATGTTTCAGCTGGTAGTCTTTTATTATCATATGACTCGAGGAGGCGTGAAGTAGGAGCTTGTGAGGACCAGGGCTAGGTATTCCGCTCCTTCCAGGTTGTCAACTCACCATTTTGTAGCCCACAAACATGTGGTTTCTTTATGTCATTCACACCATCATGAGGTATTTAAAGATTTGTTATTGCAAAACTTTTCAAGTTTTCGATCTTTTGCCCCACCGGTGGCGCAAAAGTTCGTTTTGAACACTCCGCTGAACAAATCGTTTTAGCTACGAATGGATTGAAAACTCACCATAGTTCTGTAAGAAAAAGTTGTAAACCTTGAATGAGGAATTCTGCGTATGGAATTAATTTTATTCTAAATGCTTGGAGTTTTGAGAAATTTTAATTCTTTCACCTAAATTCGAACTTCTACTCCACACCTTACTCCATGTGCGCGAGGTATTTTTTGCTTTTTTCTACATCGTGATATTCAAATAAATAAATAAATAACATATTTCTTCAGGTATTCTTTGACACTGTAAAGTTTCCCGCTGGTCAATTTTAAAATAATAAAAATGTCATTAGAATTAGCAGTCGTTCCATGTGTGTAGGAGAGACAGTCCTATTTTTGCGATACGTTGAGAGCATATTGTTGTTGATGGAGACCTCCATACACAACAATAGGCTTCTAACGCTTCTAACATACCGCAACAATAGGACTGTTCCCAATACCTTTAAATATTCCGAGGATATAAAATAAACTCAACTTTACTTCTTTTACAGGTGTACTGCTGCTCACATGTACCAAAGAGTGGTCCCGGGCACTTTGACCAGACATCAGTTGGTATCAGGCAAGCACTAAATGTACCTAAGAGCACAAACTACGTCAACGAGCAGATAAGAGGTCATCGAAACGACAGTATCGACGGTAAGTTTACAACCATTCATTGCACTCGTTAAATGCCCGATTATCATCGCACAATCATGAAATCAATATGAAAATGAAAGCTTACCGTCTCGAAGCTACCAGTCTTTATTTTTTGTGGATTAGTTTACTGTTGATCGCAAAGCCACTACATCGGTGTACTGTATCAATTACCAACCACAAGAAAACTAAACAATGTGCATTCATGGTTGAAATGATGGAAAAGTAGAGATGTGTTGTTGTAGGTTGTTTTACAAACACGGTTGTTTACCTTCTTTTACCGCTGTAAACGGATCACTGGGCATGACTGAATAACGTAAAATTATTCCAAGTATTTGTTATGTATCGTTCTGTACGCTCACCAGCATTTTGAGGCATCGACAAAAAAAAATCTTTGAAAATATACCTAACCCGGAAATGTAAGATTCTTTTGATCAAAGTTTGCCAAGAATTTGAAAACATAATTGATTGTAACCATATACCTAACTGCCTATACATTTGTATCATCAGAAAGTTGTATAAGGTGGATCTACTATGGGTATGGCCATAAGCTGCATGCAATTTTTAGGTGAGTTTAGACCCTCCTTCCGCAGACAATCATCCAAAAAGTGTACATATATAAACACTCGCTTACCCCATAAACCCTCCTATAGTGTCCACGTGGTTTGTGAATATTCCCTATGATAACTGCATTTAGTACGTTTACTACAACATTTAGTTTTCAAACCTCAATTTGATGCAGCCTAAATGTCCCATTTTTTGGAAATGTTTCACAAACATCCAAAATATTCATTGGTATTGTCCATTGTTCTACGAAAAAAATAAGAACAGGAGATTTTTATCGAGTGGCCCAATTTTAGATCTATTGGCCAACATTAGAGCCATATTACCCTATATGGGTAAATTTTGTTAAGGATAAAAAAAAACTTATTTACTATAGTATCAAATAGAGGACCACTAGGTCCAAAAGTCAGCACACTTACCCTACTTAGATCAATTTTTCCATGTACAAAATTCCTAAATTTACCTCTGTAACCCAACATTCTGCTTAACTCGATGGTTCCTCCAATATCGAGTTGGGTAGTTTTATTGGTTTTAAATAGGGTGGGTGTACCAGGTATGACTATACGTTCCAATGGTGGCCTATGGAATTCCCATATGCCATAATTAAAACATACCATAATAGAAACGTATATTCATAACTGGTACACCTACCCTATTAGAAATACTTTTAACCGGAAGCTGCTTCATCTCTCAATAAACGAGAATTGGCCTTTGACGCGTATATACACGCAGACACACAGTTTTGTCTTGCTGAATCGATTAGCTTAAAACTTGTTCCTTGTTGTCTCCACCAGGCCAACAGCGGCAAGCCACACCAAATGGCTTCAACGGTATCCGTGAAGGTAATTCGCCACCGCAGACTGATCCCGACTACAAATATGGGCGATTCGATGCCAGTGCCTTACACATTGCCCACGCGCTCAAACAAACGGAAATCCAAAAGGCGTACGAAAAATCACGGGAGAAGCCGATCGATTATTATTTGGTAAGTTTATCGTTCATACTTTCACACCTATAAAGCGCACTTCCCCAGAACTAAACACAACGGTCTCAATCCTCTCTTGCAAGTCTTTCACAATGAATACCCAAGATGTTCTTCGTTTACTTTCGTATTTACTCTTGGCTACGCATGGCTAACGATTTAATTACTAGAGCATGGATGACTCAATCTAGGTACCAATCTTTTCATACATCTCTTCATAAGCTAAGCATCACTTATTTGCTACAGCTACGATTATATAAAAAAACGTTCATTGACCATCATCTGAGCCACTACTGAGCTATCGCCTCTCGCAAATGAATAAATGCGCATTTTGAAACTAGCTTCGTTTAATTAACAGAGGAATGCTTTTACGCGGGCTAATTTTCGACATTCTTCTAGTAGATCTCTTCGTACATCGAAGTTGTGACATATATCCAAGCTTGCTTTTAGCACGATCTTTCGCGTTGGGTGGCTGCCATCCACTCAAATTATGATAATTCTGTGGCGCGTATTACACAAGTGGGGCACGCCATATTTTTGGATTTCCATCAACAACCATGGGGCATGGAGGCGTTTGATTTAGGTTTTCGATTTTGGAATTTGATTGTTATTTTATAACCTGGAAGGTGGCAAAAACGGGCAACCATCTGATGAAGCGATACGTATACGCGATATTGCTTAGCAACGGTGTTAAAAAAATTTTAACGTACATACGTGAACTAGAAAAATGTAGAAATCTCATCTGAACGCCATTTTATGTCTAAAATAACATTGAAAACATTATTTAAATGCAATTTCCTAAGTTACAAAGCGCTGTATTGTATCAAATAACGTTACAGTAAAGGTAGACCCATCAAAGCAGAATTTAAATAAAAACTAAAAATTGACCTAGTCCCAGATGAAGGCATAACTTCAGCGAAACATATGAACAGCACGTAATGGTTTAGTTCTTTGAACTAAGCATATAGTGAAAAGCGTCGTTTTGCATGTTTTTTTTTGCGTTCCGCAGTCTAATATGCCAATCTTTACTTGGATTTCAAGCGGATATCCAAATGCATACAAAAATAAGAATCATTCAGTTAGATTAGACAGCATTGGATATTTCTAGATAGAGCTGGAATTAGGGCGTAACAGCTTTTGTTAACAATGACTTTTCTCGATGATTTCTAAGAATTCAAGGCACGCCCACGCAAACCATCGAAAAGCGGAAGTCTTCACCTAACCGATGGTGATGTTTATTTGCGTGAGCGAGCTTTAAACTTTTAGAAATCACCAAGATAAGTCATTTTTTACAAAAGCTGTTACGCCTTAATTCCAGCTCTATCTAGATTTGTAGATTAAAGGCCTTAGTGTCGTTTTTAAAAATCGAGATCACACTGTATTCCGCCTTTTTCACCGAATTCACGTAAAACAACGTCTCCGCTAATCGAAAAAAACTGTACTAATAAAGCAAAGTGGTAAATTTTAAATACTTTTTCCAGTATTATACGTTTTTTTAATCATTAGTATAGTCAGTATTTAGATTATCAAATCACATTTATTGAGTACTCCTGAGAAAATAAGCTCACGTTTGGGATTCTCTTGCATTTTCACGCATAGTGTGAGACTCACAACGGCAAAAATTAATTCCATCTCAAAAATCAAACACATAAAATCCGGTCAAACGTCAATTGATGGCATGCACATGATTGTTATGTTAGTTTTACAGCAAATAGGGCAAAAATAATTGATTACAGGCCCCCACGGTATCGCTACGCAAAATAGCACGTACAGTTTATTCCTTAGTTTTTTTTCGAAATCATCACACATACGTATTATGTTGCCAAAACCGCCTGTTGATTCTCTAACTTATTTAGCAAATCCTTAGGCCATCGATAATATAACAATGGCGCTTCATCGACTCTAAAAATCGCGGTAAATTCCCAACTTGCACTTTTTTTTTAATTTTCTAAACAACAATTAGTTGGGTAATCAACCACCTCGCGCTCCAATCAATCGATTTCGTTACCACACCACACTAGACACCGTCGAAAGGAAAAGTATACCAATTGAAACGAAAATGAAAATTTGGCGCTTCTGTTTTCCTCCTCAATTCGCCGGCACTGTTTTCCTTTAGCTGTATATTTGACTCTTTGCACTCTTCGTATTCCAAGACACACAGCAACAATGAGGAAAATGGGTTTTAATTGGGCACTTTCGATTGCCAGCTCCGGTTTCGATAAAAAAAAGCCATTAATATATTCAAAACAAATTACCATAATTCGTCCCATCAAATAAAGAAAAAATGGCGTACAGAACATTGATTTTATAAAGGGTAAATAACGGCTTCGGCACTTCTTTGCCTGTGTAACGGAAGTGTTTTCAGTTTTTTTCCAAAACGATGCTGGGTCATTAGGCCGAAGGTCATTAAGCCGAAAGGTCATTAGGGCGAATGGTCGTTAGGTCGACCGAATTTCGGAAAATTGTTTCTTAACATTTGCGAAGAAAATTTGCTTGTCTGAAAATCAGAATAAACAGCAAATAATATAATGGTAAGTGCCTCAAAGTGCCGTCTCATGTCAGAAAGAAGAGAAAACTACTATAGAAATTCTTAGCCAAAGTAAAATATCCGTCAGTTAAATAGACTTATGTGAGAAAAGAATGGACAGCTTTTCAAAGAAGAAAAAATAATTGCACATTTTGTACGAAAACTGTGAAACTCGAAAGAACTGTTCCAAACCCTAATCATCTTCGCAAATTTAGTGGATAGAGCTAAGATCTGTTTTTGGGAATACTAAGCACAACCCGCTCTATGCCTCTATTTTTCGAAAGGATTTTTTTTGCAAAATAGAATGTTTTCACTGCAGATTACTTCCAAATTTATTTACATTTCCTTACGTACCGTCAAATCTTATAAAAATGAAACAAATTGTTGAGATATTGTTAAAAATCTAACATTACTTCTTGACCCCAAACTCGGCCTACGGATTCTAAATTAGGTCTAATGCACTGAAACGTCATTCAAACGCCATTGAATTCACTTCGACCTATTGGATGAAGCTAAACATTGATTCGGTCGTTTTTGTTTTTGAGAAAAATGGGTGTAAACATTCATATCACGCGTTCTCATTGACTTCGTTCGGTAGCTTTTGAACTAAAGTATCGCACCAAACGCATAATTGACTTGTTAATTCTGGAACAATGAATTTATTTGATGTTTTCTGCTAGATAGACACAAAATGGGCGATTTGGCCGAAGTAGTACCCTATATGAAATTTCTTCAAAGCCGAAAATAGTCCAAGTCACATAGATTGGTGTGACCTTCGACCTAAGGGCCGGATTTGGGCGTGATTACATTTGTAAACAAACACGTCAATCGCCGATTTCTCGCGAATAAAACCTCAATATCGAAAACTAATAACACTATCAGGTAGAGGATTGATTGCTCTATCGTTTGGTATAGTATGTTTACGAGATTGAGCTTTTATTCGTGAGAAATCGGTGATTGACGCTTTTTTTACAAAAGCAATTACGTCCAAATCTAAAATCACTCCGAAAATTACAACTGTACATAGAACAACAAGCAATGCGCAATATCTGCGCAACATTTTTAAATTTAATTTTTGAATTTCACCCTTCACAAACAGTTTATCATTAAAATGTAGATTTAACATTCATTAGGGGCTGTCCATATACCACGTGGACATGTTTTGCGGTTTTAGACCTCCCGGTTGAAGAATCATCCATATAAATGTTCTAAAATATAGCTTTCTGTGGACCGTGGACATTATTAAACAGTCCCCCCGTGGTAGCCCCTTATTATATACAATTATCTTGAAAGTCTTATCATATAGAAACTAATTAAAATTATGAAAAAAAAAATATTTTGTGGCATACCCCTCTAAACCACTGTGGGACAGTAATTTCCTGAACCGGTAGTAGACCGTAACATCGCACACTATGCAAATTACAAATGCACGGAAAAGCTTGACTGCACATTGCAGTCCACAGGACCAATAAACGTAACACAACAGCCCAATAAACTAGCGACACTTCCGCGTATTACCTACTGCGAAAAACCCCGTTGGTCAAGAAGAGGTGCTAGTCGTTCAAACTCTTACTTTCACTCAAACGCTTGGGCACTTGGCACTGATGATATCTGGAAAAGTGGAACTACTGGCTCCGTTGTACAAGCTCTATACAAGAAATGTATATAGCACCTATTAGAAAACAAAGCAAAATAAAACAACCAATATATGTGCCTACAGCGTAACCGTCCGCTAAGCGATGAGGAATGGAAACAATTAGAAATCACTTATTTTCACATGCTCGACTGGACAGACTATTCCTAAATGTTTTGCCTCGTGCTATCAAACAAAACCTTACGTTACGTTACGTTATGGGCACCATACACAAAACGCTACATTTAGAACCTTCCAGTGTCTTTCTAGCTAAGGTATAAATTTGGTGATTTTTGTTTGGCCCTCACCGTTTCAACAGGGGAAAATATGTTGGGGAAAATATTGTATAACTTAAATAAATTCCTTAAAGCTAAAATTATTTTTTTTTTTCCTGTGTTCGGGACCTAACACCACTGCGACCAGTAATTTGATCTATTGTAGTAAATCCCGTGTCCTTAGTTTAGTGCATGTCGTATTACTCCGTCACTACTGAGATATGATGAAGTATTCGATTTTTTTACTGTAGTCATTCTTGCATGTATCGCAAGGATCCGGCTCTAATTAAAGGTCCCACTATTTATACCCTTCGGAGTGTTGAAACACCCTCCAAAGGCGCGCCCCTTTTTCAGTCAAAATTGGCTTCCTTAGCAACAAAATTAAGGAATGACACCGATAATGACCATGCATCAGAACCCTAGTCTTAACCACTTCAAACTAGGGAACAACGAATAGAAGATTAGGAATCACATAGATGAACACTAACTAACTATTTTTTTGGGGTCTTTAATTTTGAAAAATATATCGGTTACTATACATCATCTGAAAGAGCACAACGATTTTTTT